AATCTTCCCAGAAGAAAACAAGAGCAAACATCTTCCACAATGCTGCCAAGAAAACTCTTATGACTGGATTTATTACGGGTCTTTTACTTTTTATTAATGTGTAGTCAATCAGCCCTTCATTTCAAAATCACACTTTTCTTTTAAAATAACACCATAGTTATCTACTTCCCAATTGCTCAAAAACACTTTTTGAATCTGCAATCACCTTCTGTTCTGTTGGCCATACAATATTGCAATAGGTTTTGCAGAAATAAAAAATGCTCACCTCTCCTAATGCAAAAGCAAATTATAATAAATTGCTTCCACCCACCTCTTCTCTCCTACTTTATATGTGTATTTGTCTGCTTCCTCCCTGCAGAGTAGCCCCAACGGAGTAGAACTGAAAAGCTGTCAATTCTCCTAAGCCTTAAAAGGACGGCTAAACCCAGGTAGTTGGAGATGGAGTAAAACAAGAGATTCTACAAAGGGAGACTAGCTGTAAGGTTTACAGAGTTGCAGTGTTTGAAACAAAAGGTGACTTTTTCCTAAGCTATAAATAAATAAGCATAGTCTTCAGACTTAGCTGACATGTCTTCAAAATAGCACAATCTCCTTGGGGTAGAAACGCCCTATCTTTGTTGAGAAGCACTCAGTTCTAAATGGCCCAGAGTGTTCAAAACAGAAGCCGGCCATCAGAACTGGGAAAGCATTTCTGAAAAATAGTTTGTTACCCACTTAATTATTAGTGCTTGAAACATCTGTTCAGTAACATGTAAAATGAAAATATTTTTTTAAAAAATGTAAAGCAAGTATCTTAGCAAAAGTAAGGCAGGGCTTAAATCAATATTTTTCAAGCTTTACAACATTAAGATATGTGGAATTCAATTCCCAGAATTTCTCAGCCAACATACGGCTGGGGAATTCTGGAAGTTGAAGTCCACACATATTAAAGTTACCAAATTTGAAAAACACTGGCTTGAATACAATAGGCATACAAACATTTTGTTTCTTGAAGGAGGCATGAAACAGAGATCTCTTTTCCCCAAGTCAAGGTATTCAACAACAGTCCTACTATGTCATACTATGCTTCTTTTCCTTTCCTGTCTTATAAAAATTGGATGGACAGCTTTAAATAATTTTAGATCAGAATTCCAATATAAAAGAAATTATGGTATAGACCTTCTATTGGCGATGACTCCATATCTATATCATGTCTATTTCTGATATTGTCTGCTTCCTGGAAAAAGCTGAAAACAGAGGTCTTATTTTAAATTTTACTCTATATTCTTATTTTGTAAGCCACCAAGAATCCTGAGATTGTGGCAGGATATAGGTTTGATTACTAAAAGATCATAAATAAATAAAATAAGATGATAAACATCATTTTATAATAATAGATTTTACAAGTAAAACTGTGAAATCAATCATAATATATCTATTAATATAGCAGTCTTAAATTGAATCAAACCATAATAACTAAGATAGTCCTTAGTTCACACCCATTCATTTAGTGACCATTCAAAGTTACAACAGCACTGAAAAAGTGACTTGCTGTCCTCCAACTTACAACTGTTACCCAAGGTTGCATGATCCAAATTTGAGGGCTTGGCAATTGGCATTTATTTATGATGGTTGCAGCATCCAGAGTCATGTGATCTCATTTGTGACTTTTCCAACTGGTTTCTGCCAAGCAAAGTCAATGGGGGAAGCCATATTTGCTTAAAGACCATGTGATTCAATTAATAACTGCAGTGATTCATTTAACATCACAGTCATAAGTTGAAGACTACCTGTACTTTAAATGAATCAAAGACTTGTTTAATGTAAAGAAAAATACTTATCATTTTTACATAGTTTGGATTTGATCATACAGTCTTATCAACTTACTACTGGAAAGCCATTAATAGGATTTTTTCTTCTTCTCACCAAGATGAAATGAAAATTTTAGCCTGCATCTCTCAGAGAAATCATATCAATGACAACAGATAGGCCGTGTCATTGTGGTGGAGCTGAGTGAGTGAGTGACTTCAGCATGTGTGGGATCTGGAATCTATCTCAATAGGAATAGCTTCTTCAGCAGAGTGACAACTATAATTAGCATAGAAACGTCTGACAAAATAAAGACAGAGTGAAATCCAGAGATGAAAAATAGATTATCTGCTGTCAGAGAAAACAACAGACAAGAACCAAAATTATTCTAGGTGACAAGGCGTATATGGCAGGAAGGAAGCTGAAGAATAAAAATGTGATGGGGAAACAATGAAAGTCCCAAGGTACAAAAGGAGAGAAGAATCAGATTAGAGATAGTAACCATATCAAAGTTGGATAAAAAGCATCTACAAAGTTTACTGGAGGGAGGAAAACTTATTAGGTAGTGATATAAGATTCTCATCCAGGGGGAAAAAAACACTGTTTGGTGGATGCAGAAAGTAAGAGAGTTGGGCATTTAGGTCTCTGGGGAAGATGAGGAGACTCTCCAAGGTCAACAATGTGTTTCATGAGGTTAGGAAGCCGGTGTGCACATGATTGAACAACAGCCCTACTATGTTGAGTACTGGAGGTTGAAAATCCCACACACCCTTCTTTTCCTTTTTGGCAGTAAAAACATTGTAGCAGTAAATTAAGTAACAGTTTGCTGTTTCCTTATCATGACAAATAAAAATAGTTAACTCTGGAGACTAATTCAATCAAAATGTATTAATGAAAATATTTTCTCTTCCTTTTAGGACTGCCAGAAAAGGCACTGGGTGCAGGAATGATTAATTACTGTTTGTGGAGCTGCAGTTTTGAGATACTGCTAAATTCTTGGTTTTCTTTCCCACTAAATAGCTGCATCTCAGAGGAATTAAAAATGCTGTAGTTCCTTCATAGACACAGTGATGTAATCCTATTAATACATCTTCATAAGATTATCAATATAAAGCAGGGGTGTCAAACTCACAACGTCACGTGACGTGTCGCGACTTTTTTCCATTGCCAGCAATGGGGTGGGCGCGGTTTCAGTTTGATACCCCAATATAAAGTATCTATTGATAAAATGTGAATTTTCTAGACCTTTCCAAAATGGATTTTACCTTAGCAAAAAGTCCACACTTTCAATGAGAACTTCCCAAATGCAACCTAACATAGGTTAATCAAATTTATCATTTTAGGATTTTCTTCAGTAGAAACATGTTTCATACAATGACATGCAAACAGGTGACTTTTGTTTTCATTTTATTTAAACTGTGTTAGATACTTCCAAGGCTCTCTTTCACAGAAAAGACAATGCTTTCTTCTTTTAGAATGTACTCAGGTTAAGTCAAATAACATCTTCCTATGCTTTCTTCCTATTCTGGATTTTTTTATCTCATGGCTTTCTAAAACTGACATTTTGGTTTGGATCTTCCTCAAGCTTTTTATCTCCACGGAGTCCATACACAGAAAGAATTAGGATCTCTGACTGCTATAATATATCATGCCAGATCTTCCAAATTTCTTTGTGCCCACCTTTTCTCCTCCTCTTTCTCCTCCTCCCTATTGTTAGCACCCTTTCAGTACCCCTTACTTCTTTAATCTCCACAGTTCTTCTTATTAGAAAAAAGGAAGGGTGAATTGTGATGATATAACTCAGTGTAACCAGACACTTGTCTAACAATACATTCAGTATTAGGGAAAGATGATATGCCTGTATTAGTCTTTGTCTAGATTAGTGTTTTGTAGGAATGCACAGCCACAAAATCCCAGCTGCATAATTTATTGTAAATATAATGATATTTTTAGTTTTTAAGGTACCACAAACCTTAAAACTTTAAATCTTTTTCAATTGCTGCTACAAAAATGAACATGATTCATCTATGGGACATAAGAACAAGGCAACTATTCCAGGCTTTCATAACAATGTCCTATGGATAAAGCAGCAAAGTCTTAATGCTAGATTTCGTGGTCAACAAAAGCTGAACATTAAGGCTTAATCAGTGCAATTCTGTAATCCAAATGAGCACAGTTATATTAATCTTTGAAAGGTTGTGGACCACACAACTATAGCAGAAATTTCAGTCAGTTTTGTGCTAACTTCTATTTTTAAGATAATACTATTATATTCTCCAAACCTAATGATGTTTAAGGATCTTAATCTCTCTTTCCATTCAGTCCCTTATGATTCTGGTCATGTCCATCCACAGTTCATTTCAAGCACTGAATTCATATTTTTGTGGTTTTATTTGAAACTGGAGAAACTGGAACTTTTTTTTGTAACACTGAGGTTTGTGAAATCTATTTTTCAATTAGTTTACTCTTGTTTTACTTGGCTTATCTTACATGCTGAGCAAAGTGTGTTCTTGCTTAGCATGTTCTGTGACCTAAGAGCAACCCAATTTCAATCCTTTGAATCAGTTTTACTTCCAGTCATGTACTCTGTGGTTCTCCAGCTGATGGTTGGGTCAGTTGTAGCCACTAACTGCAAGAAACCCCACCCCCTTGTTTTACAACAATGAGTCCTGTTCTGGAGCCTAATTGACAGGGCAGAAAATCATTCACTAAACGGCAGCAAATGCATGAAAAAATATTTTTGAAACTATCTCATTATATTAGAGAAGCATTCATTTTCAAATAAAAAGTAATCATACCACATCACTTAAATATTATCTTTGTAAATTTATCTTTCCTTCAGGCGACAACTTCCTTGTTGCCTGCCTGAAGGAAAATAATCAGAATGACAAAGTTCAGAGGCCTTTCTGGGAATAATGTTGAACACAGGCATCATTGCAAGCAATAAAAAAGGTCAAGATGGCAACCACAACCACATGATTGGAATCTTGTCTCTCTTTACATGTGTTATGAGAAAAGAACATTAAAAAGGGTCGGGACTTCAATTATGTAGTTTGGACTGCCAATGTGCCTTTTTTTAAACCTCCTGCCCTGGAAACCTCTAAATTGAGCTCTGTGGCAGCTCCAAAATTCATACTTTAAAGAATAGGGTTTTAAAGCAAATACATTAGGAACTATAATGAAACTAATTAGAAAAGGGTGGACATTTCTACCTTGGTAAAAGTCAAACAGTCTTTGTCTTGATCTTTGTCCTTTATTTCAAAGTCATAAAGTGCTTTGCCTTGTGGAGGAGCTGGTGGAAGAGGCTTGATACACTGGATGTAGCTTGCTGGGAAAAAGCCATGATTTCCATTCAGTTCCCCATGATACCAATTCTCATCTACTTTTCGGCGCAATATAATAAGGTCCCCTTTGTTAAATTTGAGGTCACCAGGTTCTTTCCCTTCGTAGGCATAAAGAGCTTTTCCATAGGGAAGCTGAGTGGGGTTCTGCAACAAAAAAAGGAAAAATACTATGTACTATTATGCAATTAATTATAATATACATTATTATTACCGTTTGTTGCATGTTGCCGTTTTAAGTAAAGTTCAAAAGGCAGTTTCTAAAAATAATGTGTTTAAAAATGTTTAGAACAAAATTAACAAAGGCTTTTGAAATAACTAGAGACAAAACAGGAATAAGCTTAAAGAAAATAGCATTTTTGCCTACCTAATATTAGGCAGCAGTGGTGCAAAATGTGGTTCTTGGAAGACTATTTCAAACCCAGCCTTTATTTCCCCTCCCTCCTTCCCAAATTATTTTGTGAAACCATTTCTCATCTTAGAATTCACTACAAAATGGTTTAGTATGAGGCAACTACAAATCAAACTCTTATTTCCTACACTTGGGACAAAAAGAATCTCACACTATTTGCTTATCAGGATACCTATGTAAGAATGTGCCCAACAGCTGTTTTACAAATTGAGACTGTTAATAAGGTAATTATCACTCTATCCACTATATTTTATTTTTCTCTTACTACAGAGTTTTAAAATCTTCTTCTCTTTCAGTGAGTGAATTTATACTCCTGTTTGAAGAATATCAATTGGAATGTATTTATATTTATCTATAAAATGCATGTACCTTTGTATTTACAGGGATCCACACAATGATATATAAAAAGGTTCATTTATTTAAAATTTTGAATAGTACAATGAATAGAAAACAACTTTCGTACTGCATACAAATTCAATTCTATTTTTATGAAGTATCAATCATGATTGAATATCTTTAAGTATCTATATTTCAGCATCGGAATACACAAAATGAATACTATTTATTGCACAATCAATCAAGTACCATTTTCTGTGGATACAGAAATTTTCTCTTTTTCAAGCTAGTCTCTGATAGTTTTCTTTTCTTCCATTGCAAATTAATTGGCCAGTGAATCTCTAAATTAGACAGAATTCCTCTCCACTTTTCCTCTAGTTACTCTAATTAAAGAGACTCTTAGAGAATGTGGTTTCACATTAAAGTAATTTCTCTACAACCCCCCCCCCCAGTAATTGATTAGTCTTACTGATTTCCTCTCAGCTTTCTCCTATCAATAAATGAAAGGAAAAATGTCCATCTATTATGAAAATAGGTTTGTAATATAAATGAAGAAGCCATGGAAGTCTCAGCATTTCTTGTATGTCCACATTGCAGAATATGTCTTTATTTGAATCAATCAATTCTGATAAGACAAAGTGGACGATTACGTGTACTTGGGGAAAAGTGAAATCCTAATGATATGCTAGGATTCAATCACTGAGCATTTACATTTCAGACAAATCAAATGGCAGCACTTAAGAAACTACAAGCAAACAAACAACAATCACAAGGCAATTAAATGGTAACTAGGATTTTGAAACTGATGAATTGATTGCTTAGTAGAAATCATTGTATGACATTCAATGCGTCACTATCTTCTTTCCCTGTTCAAAAGCTTTCAGCCACCAAAGAGCTCTCAGTTGTCTACTCTCTATTATGCACTGTTCCTCTTATCGTCTGGTTCAGTGTGAAAGCTTCCCTCAGCATTATTCTATTTTCTCAAAGATTTCTTTTTAAATCATATCTCATGTTTCTGTTTCAACCTATCTTAAGCCTTGTTGGTTCAACTTTTTCTCTTCCCAGCTTAGCATGTTACCATTTCTCTTTTTATCATGCTGTGATACTTCTCATTAACCTCCTCCTGTCTCAGTTCCTGATCTCCTTTGAGCTTTTCCTCCTTCTCTTTTACCTACCCTTCCTGTTTTTTCAGTCTATGACTTCTTCACGCTTCATTTCTGAACATCATGCCCATTAGCTTCTTCTGCATCTCGGAACCTTTTTGTTCCGATTTTCACTCTACTCCACAGATGAGCAACAAGCTGAAGCTTAACCCAGACAGGTAGAAACCCTGTGACTGAAAAATATGCTAAACTGGAGATTTAAGCATTATCTGGAAAGACCAAATATTGCAATATCTTTGAAGCTATCATCTACTACAGCAGTAGACCGAGGTACCTTTTCTAGCATTGCTGCAGCCGTAGCAATTTTTATTTATTTGTTCTAAAGAATGTAATATAATGCAAATCATTTAATTCTGGGCAGCTTACAACAGAAAACAAAGCAACAATAACCAATAATAGTCAGGAACAAGCAAACTATTTACTCATTTTAACCCCAATGCTCAAGGGAATAGCTAAGTTTTAAATTCTATTTAAAAGTCAGCAGTGTTGGAAACAACTGAACATTGGAATTATTTCAAAGGGCAGGTGTCCCTACAGAAATGGCATGGCTTCTGGGTTTTGTCAGATGATACTGCCTCAAGGCATGAATGCCCATACTATTAACATAGGTAGGTTCAGCAGATATCGCACAATAACTTAGTCCTATGCCATGATTTAACCTAGTGATTCTTAGCACCCTTTTCCTTCGGGCAAGTCTTCCTGCTGCTGTGGGTAATTGCCCTAGGGTCTCTGAGGATTGAGGACCGTTTTTGAGGTAGTATTGGCGTGTGGAAGGAATAGACCATAATCTGCCAATGTGTACACACACACACACACACACACACACACACACACACACACACACACAAACACAGTTTTTGTTTTTAATAGTATTTTTCTACCACTGACCATGCACCCTACTACCCTACCACTGACTCGGTGTAAGACTCATAGAAGTTGACATTTGTTATTACATATCCTACATTTCTTTTCTTGTCCAAACCAATGCTTTGATTGGTTCAGCTCTTCACCTAGCTTAGAAGTGATCTGTAATATTACAGGAAGTCCTTGATTTAAAACCATAATGGGGACCGTAATTTATATTGCTAAGTAATGCAGTCATTACTTAGATGTTACAGGAACACATCATTTGGCAACCACAGTTCTGGCAATCTCCACTACCATCTTTAAATCATTTTTTTTCTTGTCATTAGCCCACAAGCTGTTCCAAGGTTGGTCCTTCCCAGTCCTCAACAAAGTAAGGGACTTCCTTCAACTCCACCCACCTGCCTATTTCCCCACTCCCATCTCTGCTTTTTGAGCCTCCCTGAACCCTGCCTTTTGGAGTGAAAAGCAACCCCTGAACTGCATGGTCCGGTGCTACTTGCCACACTGTGGGAAGCCATAGCTTCACCAGCCCACACCCAGTTGCCTCCTTCCCCCACTCCAAGACCCCCTGCTGCCCTGCGCTCTACTTCTGCTACCTTCAATGTCGTTTTGATTCTACTGCTGATGAGGCATGCCTGGCCCAGCTGTGGGCTAGGTTGGGACCGGACTTGTGCTGCTAAAGAGGGAAATAAAAGCTGAAAACAGTCCTGAGCTGCAATGTGCCAAATCGCCCCTTTGTGAAGGACTCTTGGGTGAGGTGGAGCTGGCCTTACACTGAGAAAAAGGTAGGAAAAAATTGGCTTCCAGCTTTTTTCTGCTTTTTTTGCAATGAAAAACCAGCCCTGCTTCACTCAGAAGCTCTTTGCAAAGAGGAATTTCTTTGCAAAATGCTTCTGGGTGAGGCTGGCACTGACTGTGCAAAAAGGGGACTTTTTCCTCTTTTTTGCAACACAAAGCCAGCACCAATTCTACCAAGGAGCTCTTTGCAAAGGGGTGTTATGGTGCACTGTGGCTTAAGGGTTGCCTTTGGCTCTCCTTCCTTGCATGAAATCAACTCCATGTGGCCCAACAGCCAGGCAGATATACCCTGTCAGTAGTGGAAGCAAGTAAACAGTGAAGGTCAGCTAGGGCACCGGAGCATAGGGTGCAGAGGGCCAAAAGGGCATAGATATGGGGGAGATAGGCAGGTAGGGAGAGTTGCAGGGCACCTGAAGTTATAAGTGTAGGCAGGCTGCCAAGTGGGCTAATTTTTTATCATCTGACCATGAGGGAACTGCATTGGCTGTAACTTTGAGCATGGGTGGTAAATCCTTCCCTTCACTGCTGTTAGAATGGTCACTTAAGGCTACCTGTATGGTTATATTTTTATTGAACTGTTGTCATTATAAACAAAATTAACAAACTGCAGCTAAAAACAGTTAAAAATACATTAAATATATAATTAGCCCATTTCTCAAATTTATTTCTGTCAGGCCTAGTCCTGTTCAGGTTAGCTTCTGAAATCATTATTAGCCAAGACAATCAGGCAAAATATATCAGGGGATGAAATAATAAGTTATCCACAGTTTGCCCACTCAGCAATGAAATAATAAATGTCAGTACAAGGCATTAATAACAATTAAAACTGGTAATGCTTATTTGTAGCTCATTACTTGAAGCACACTGGAGCCATTTCTCATTTTGTGAAGAAACTCAAAGGAGCACCCCCACATTCTTATAGATCCTTCACACAAGCAGTCTGGACAAGGCATATGGTTTCTGTCATGAGAAACTGAAGGGGAGAATCACAGTATAGAAACTGGTTGAATTGAACCATTCACAAACTGATATGTAGTACAGGTAGACCTTGACTTACAACAGTCTGTTTAGTGACTGTTCAAAGTTACAACAGGATTGAAAAAAGTGATTTATTACCATTATTTCACACTTATGACCGGTATAGCATCCCCATGGTCATGTGGATCAAAATTCAGATGCTTGGGAAGCAATTCATATTTATGATGGTGTCAGTGTCCTGGGATCACATGATCACCTTCTGTGACCAAAAGTCATTTAAATGTTTCACGTAACAACAAAAATGTTGGGCTCAATTGTGTTCTTAAGTACTTCACTTTTGTTTAGCTATAGATAAAAGGTACAATTGTGCCAATTGTTGCATTACCATTATGAAAAGCTGGAAGAACTCTGAGTGATTCAAAAGATTTCTCATTTGCATGTTAATAAGAATCAGAAAAATAAATTGCATCACCTTATTAATTAGATATGTTCAGTAATTTTGCAGTTATTAGGATGGAAAGGGCACTAATTTCCTACTGTTTCTCTTCTTCTCATATAAACTTCTCAGAATTATTCATGTGCATCAGCAATTT